GAATCCTTTTGTCAAATGGCGGCTTTTTGGTGTGTTTTGGTGCGTTTGATGGTTTTTTGACAAAATGGCGCATTTCTGCTTTTTGTGGATTTACTATCGATAGTGGATTCAGGGCTCGGTTTGTGTTTTTCGTCGAGATATGTGTTTTTGCGGACTTTGCGGTCTTTATGGTCTTTGACACGGACTTTGACACGGTCTCTAGTGGTCTCTAGTGGTCTTTAGCGGACTTTGACACGGTCTCTAGTGGTCTTTAGCGGACTTTGCGGACTTTGCGGTCTTTGACACGGACTTTACGGTCTTTGACACGGTCTCTAGTGGTCTTTAGGGACTTTACGGTCTTTGACACGGACTTCAGGGACTCCGATGTAGGGTTGGTGTATGGTATCCGTCCCAATAACACAAACTATACACTACATGATGTATACACTGATTCAGTCCAACACAAACCTAAGGTTTGTGTTGGACTGAATCAAACGTGCTGAACTTATAATACTCGCATGTTTTGCACAAATGGGGAACTTTTTGAAACAAAGAGAGAAACAAAGTGAAAAAAAAATATGAACGCTTGCATTTCCCACTTCGACGAAATCAAAGCAATTTCACGCCAATTCTGCAGCAAGTCCCTTAGTTTTTAATATTTGTGAACGCTCGCTAAGATTACACCTATAATGAGTCTCAACCCGTCTTCACTCGCATCATCTGGAAGAAAATGGCCTTTGTTTTTGATATATGAGACCAAGCTTTGGTTCTTTAATATCAATAGCACCAAGTTCGCCTCCTATCGCACACGACACTCCTGGAGGAATTCCTCCGCGGGTATAGACGCTGATGAGGATAACTTTTCTGGCCTAATATTGGCAAGAGTTTTATATTTTCCCCCTCTTTGGGAGCAGGTCTTGTATGATTGCCGCTTTTGGTATGGAATTGACAGTTGGATATCCGCGGGTTTCAGTCGAGTGGGCGCTTTACACATCCAAACTATTTGGGCCCAAAATTTGACCTTTACCATTTTTCGGCATTCTTGTTTTTTTCCGTACATTTTACAGTTTTTACAGTCTGCCTTCCAAGCTCTTTCTCCCGTGAACGTTGGTTGTGATGGGACCGTTTCAGAAAAGGCAAATGATCTGACTTGTCAGGAAAGACGCATTTGAACGTATTACGGGAAGACCGGGATCTTCGTTAATCAAATACGTTATCATCACAGACTTCCTCGGGTGGCCCATCGAAAGTCCATTTTGGGGTGTAACTAGTGAATGTTGCATGATAGAGGCAAACTCACGTCCAAACACGCCTGACTTTGGATACCCCATCCAACGTTACATCACCAAGCACCACGCCCCCAGACCAAGATCACACCCATCTCATTCACATCGCAAGGCAACCAATCTCACCACCACCACACCACCTTTCCAAAGCGTCCAGCAACAAAACAAGCAAAAACCATGTCCAACAACACTCCCGCTCAACCCATCGTGGAAGCCATCGTCATCGCCGCCCCCGGCGCCCTCGGTCTGACGCGTATCGCGCCCACCGCTATCGGGTTGTTGGGGGGTTTGGTGTTTGGGTTGGGGGTGTGCGTGTCCATGGAAAGGAATAAGGAGGGGAGGCCTGCTGGTGGGTTATATTGTATTTTGTTTGGCGTCGACAGACGGGGGCGGCCGTGGAGGCATTTTGACTTCACTGATTTCTTTTTTTTGCTCTGTTTCTCGTTCTGGTGTGATGTTTGATCAGGATGCCCCGACGACCCGACGAACCCGCTCCACCGCCTCGTCGTCGCTCACAGAAACACCTGGTAAGCAGTCCTGGGGTTACCACTTCCACCGCTCGAGATCAGATTCTCACTTTAACAAACATTATTACATTTATAGCGAATACGCCCCGATGATCGGCCTTCTCATCTACTACCTCGACCGCCGCCTCGCATGCCCAATCATCGTGCCTGATATCGTCGCCTACACTGCGTATCCGGCCATGCTCGGGTTGCTGGCAAGCAGGTTGGCCTTGACGGCCGGGTTGGCGTGGGGTAGGAGTATCGCTGAGGTATGTTTTTGACTTCTTTATCTCAAAAACGTTCGGACTCGGTCCTCGGCTGGGTCATGTATACTCTTCCCAATTCAAAACAGGTGAATTCTGCCCGCTACCTTGGCGCCTGGGGCCAGTACATCTTTGGTATCTTCTTGTCTGGCATCGCCATATACATCTGAAGACGTGAGAGTGACAACTAACGCAACATGTCTGCGTGAGATGGAATTTTGTAAAGCTGTGAAAAATGGGTGTTTTTTGGGGGAAGCAGTTTGTATATATGGATAGGAAACAGCGATGCGGCCTTTTCTTTGCAAAGTTTGAACTATCCCTCATATGAACTGCTAACTACACTGTATGGGCAAGGCTGATAAAGGGACTCGTTCCCATAGAGCATTTTACCTAGGTGATGCAGATGTGCTTCGCATAAATTATGACAACACTTTGTTCCAAATGCTACAAAGGAAAAACTTAATCACCAATGTTAAGCAGAGTGTCGAGTGTCACATCACAGCAAGTATCCGCTTTTTAACGGCAAAAACAAGACTGTGCCTAATCAGAAGCTGGAAAAGTGTGGCATGAGACTCCAAACAAATGGATGGCGAAAGGTCAAAAAGAAGAGATAGCGAAAACGATCACGCTCCTGGGTGGGCTTGAACCACCAACCTTCCGGTTGCTTTTGCTTATGTAAAGCAAATTAACAGCCGAACGCGCTAGCCAATTGCGCCACAAGAGCTTTGTTGTTGAATTCTGCCATTAGGAGGAAAAACTTATAGGTTATTGAGGTATCCGCACCATGCTGATGATCAGTTACCCTGGCAATTCGATGTCCTGGAGAACGTATTCTGGATTGACTTAACCGTCCGGCAATCTGCCAACCCTCTCATCAATCACTCGCCGAACGTGCTAGCCAATTGCGCCACAGGTGCTTGTTGGAATCTGTGTTCATTGATCACTACGTCAGGGGAGACGTAAGTAAAGGACGAACCAAGGTATCCAAACTCAAAAGCACGACAAGCATTCAGCACCACAAAAAGCACACGTCGAAAAACCCCCGCTCTATCCCACCCCAAGCCCACCATGCCCACAAAAAGGTATTTCACCCTTGCACCACAGTCCTTCCATTCCACAAACCAATGTCGTGCGTATTCGAAGGCATCAACCTCGTCCTCCCGTCCCACAAAACCAAGTTTCGAGTCGCCCTCGGTATCGGCCGCGAACTCGCCCTTGTTTTCGTTCATATCGCCATCCTTTCTGTGTTTAGCGGCAACAACGGAGCAACTTTTTGGGTGACCGCCGAAGCGGGCCTCTGCATCATCCGCTTGCCACGTCCTTTCCTTCGTTACCACATGGCTGACGTCCCCACAGACGGTGAAGCGCAAAGTCGGTCGGGGGTGGGACGTGATAGGAGATGGAAACATTATTTGATTTACGATACGGTCGTGTTTCATCTTACCGTGATGCTGTGGTGTTGGGGATGTGTCTTGGGATTGGAGTTTTTGACCTCTCTGGCGCCGTCCCGACGTGGAGACGTGGTTGGATGGGTGGTTGTGGGCGAGGTGGTGGCGGGGTTTATATGTGGGTGGTTGGTCGGCATGATGTACGTGTCGAAATACCTGCTGACGGGTAGGGTGGACTGGAAGATCCTTTATTGTCCGATGATTGCGGAGGAGGACAACGACGAAGCAGAAGGCAATGATGGTACGGCGGTGATCGGAGGGACGGTTTCCCAACCACTCAACATAGTGATACCTGCGATGATCCCTGTTTGCCCCGCAACACCCGCAATTTCGCCGGAAGAGCTAGCATCTCTCAAAATCTTGACCTTCAAACCCGCCTCATCAAGCAGCCCCACCTCCACCTCCACATTTCTCCCACCCCTCCATTCAACAGACGAAACCTGCGCCATCTGCATATCACCCTACGAACCAGGCGACACCCTCCGCGAACTCGCCTGCCACCACCGATTCCACATCGCATGCATCGATCCATGGCTCGTGGGCAAACAACCTCCCCCCGGCGAAGGCCCCACTGACCCGGGCCACCGCCAATGCCCGCTCTGCAAACAAGATGCGATACTAACTCACCCGCCCGTCTCGCACCCCCGTGTACAGCCAGCATCACCACCGACCATCCCAATCCGCGTCATGAGCGTGATCGAATCCGTCAACACTGCAGTCGCACTCGCGGAATCCGATGCGGCGGATCATGCAGGGGATACAAGTGCGGAGGGCGGGAGCAGGAGGGTGTCCACCCTCCCGCTGGCAGCGCAGAGGATGGAAGCTTTGTTGGTCAAGTTCAACAGAATGTCACGCGCTTCGAGATATTGGAGTGGGAGGTTGGAGCGACGGCTTGGGGAGGATGCGGGGATAGCTCGGGCCTCGGTTGGGCGAATGCAATGAGAGAACGGGAGTTGTGGCACATGTCATGGAATGATGTTAATGGATTCTAAATGAAAGGACTCGCCATTTGCGTAGACACTACGAAATGAAACGCTCGGAACATTTCCTTCCAACTTTCTGTTTTCTGCGTGCGACTCTTTCCGGTTTCCAATCTGATTCAAGTATGCCACAATGTTTGAGCCTTTGGGATTACGGAAAATTCGAGACAGATGACGCCCAAGTCTCGGTTTCCCTTCTGACAGAAAAAGGAGATCCACATGCTAGCAGAATGACGGGGCTTTTTTTGTTTATTTTCTGCCCCTTTTAAAGGAAAAAATTTACAGTCCGCCTCTTCATGTATCAAGTACCTTGAAAGCCCGTCAGAAAAGCAAGTTGAAATATCACTTTGCTACCACAAAACCAACCCTGAGCTTCTCTAAAAACGACCCGAGCGTCTGGGTATCCAAAAAAGCGCAGCAAAGTCCACCCATTGATGGCAATTTAGCAAAGAGGTGAAGGAAGAATATTGTGCAGGCGGAAAACGGGACGAATCAATTTGTGATTCCTGTTGTCCGTCTCGTTGCTGCGTCTCCTTTGCTTTGGACGCACGAATGTGGGCCAACCAATTGGAGAAACAGAAAAAACCGAAAAATCATGAAAACGCTTCCTGCCAAGGATGGGCAAATCTCGCCACTCCTTCATAGACAGAGAGGACGCCAATTTCTCAGGTTGTTCGCCGCTTTCAAACAGGTTTTTGGGCGGTTCGTGGACACGCCGTGGGACTACGCCGGCTGACCTACAAATTTGACGTTTCCTTTGTTGGTGGAAAGGAGCTGGTATGTGGCCTTAGCTGTCCCGTTTGAATGACGTCAATGGCAGAGAAAGCAGAACAATGCAGCATGATGTTAAGTAAGTATGAGGACGACTCTGGAAGGTCAGCAGCCAGATTTAATTGCAGAAACGTATTCTTTGGGCGTTTCCTTGGAGCCGCGACGAGCGGTCCTCACAAATCTCTGTTGCTTCATCACACACACAAAATCACACCCTCTCATAAAACAGAAGATACGCCTGACTCTTCTGCACCTCCTCCCACCCACACCTCCTCACATGCGTATCTGAACAATACGCCCACCCCCCAACTCCCTCATCTTCATTGCCCTCTGCCTCCTTGGCCTTTGCTCCATCCAACCTCACATAGGCAATGTAGTGGCCCCCAAATAGTCCGCCCATGTGTACCACAACCCCGTACAATCTGTACTTCCTGCCTTTTTGTTTGCTCGGTGCAGAAGCGGACGCGTCGGATGGCTTAGGCGGGGCGAGCCACGGGTCGAGAGAAATGAATTCGTCAAAAGCGACCGGGTCGTCGATTTTGCGGGTGCGGGAAGAGAAAATGCCGATCTGTTGGAAGCGTTTGAGGTGGATGACTAGGGTTTGCGGGAGGGTATGGATAAGGTAGCGCTTATGGGCGCGCGAAAGTGCGGCTGGAGGTTGTGCAGCCTTAGGTTTGGGTGACGACGGCGGAGAAAGGGCTACTGGATCTTCCCCGGCAGGCTGTGTTGATGGGGAAGTGGGCGCGGCCTCACCGGAAGGTTCGATGGTGTTGCCAAAACGATCGACGGCCGGTGGTGCCTCCTCAACATCCGAGTCTCCGTTAGCCTCCTCACCAGCCCGTATAGGGCCCGCCTGCACTGTCTCGGCAGCAGCTGGTTTGCTGTCACTATCGGATTGTGCGGCTTCTACCCCAGCCTCACTCGTACCCGCAACCTCTTCATCGCCCCCAGTTGTCCTGATTTCATCATTCTTCTCCTCATTGCCCATCTTGTCGCTCTCTGACTTCACGTCGGCCCCATTTTGCATCTCCTCACCACGCTTCCCATCCTCCTCCTTTTTCCGCTTTGCGCACGCCTCACACTGGTATGCGTCCTTCCCATCTAAAACTTCGACGCTCATAAACTCTGCGACACATCTCTCGATGGTCACATTTCGGGCACCAGCGTCTGCCTCCCACGCCGGGCGCAATAATGATTTGATCAGCGCAGCCCTTTCCGCATCTTTTTCTCCCTCCAACTCCATATCCTGAATACCATTCGTGATCGCATCAATGGAATTATCCGGGGTGGAACGCGCGCCGTTTGACAATGTTATCTGCTTGTCCGCCTTTCCCTTTTTAACGTCTGATAGGATTGCGAGTGAGAGGTCCATGAAATCTTCGTAAGAGTACGACACCTGATTCGGCGAGATACGGTTGAGTTTTCAGCGAAAATGCAACGTGATGAAAATTTGACTTACGTGGTGGCACGTGTCGCAGACAACTACGCTGACGAGCTTTCCTGCAAAGACTTTGTCAATATACGTCGGCAGAGGTTTCCCAGCCTCGTCTTTCTATAAGACGATGAATCAAGCAATATCAGTCTCGCGAGTTCCATAACGTATGGAACGGATCCTATAACAGATCTCAATACCTTGGTATTCTCCTCCTTCAATCCATCCACAAGTCTTCTCAGAACCTCATGAGAATCCTGCTGCCCCATCCTACGATACATTGTCCACTTTTGACAGATCTTGTTAAACAAATCCGATGGATTGAC